CCTTTCGCTCAACCCTGTGGTTGTGATCAGCCCCCGTAAAGTGGAGGTGATATTCTGGAGTGTAGATTTCAACTAGCAGAATGCCATTTTAGCCTATTAAGCATATTTTCTTTGACTTTCAGCAAAGATCAACGATCTGGTCTCTTCCACGTATAAGACAATAAAAACAAAGCTGCCATCAACGTTACGAAGCATGTCGTTATACTTGTCCAATAAAGATACAGAATTAATTTTGTTTAAGCCAGTTAGGGTGAGTATTGCTAGATGTACTTCAGCATGTTTTCCTGTAGGTGTTGGGCCTTCATTTAGTTCAAGAATTTAAACACATTTTGTGGGATCGTTCACCTTACATTTCTTTGTGTGTATGGTTATATGTATAATATATCTGTATAAATGTATGTTTGCATATATTTATAAGTGTATATATATATACACAGACACACATACATACGCATATCTGTGTATCTGTTGAGTTATTCAAGGTTACCAGTCCAGCTGGTAAACGTGTGACAAATACCACGCGCATGCAATAGCGAACAGCCTTATTACAGTCACTATGATGTCCATGATCTGAGAAGCCTGTTGAAAAGACACATAAAATTAAAAAAAAAAGTAATAATATGGTCTGTGATATGTTTAGCTGAAAAAAACCCAAAGAGCACAGCTTTCCTGCTCTCCATTGTACTCAACCTACATAACACACACACGTTACAGGGAGGTAACTGGTTCTGTTCATCCTGCACATCTTCCTTTTGGCACCATATGAGCTACTATAAAGAAAATTAAATCTGTCCCAGCCAAAACCAGTACAGCCTGATTAGTTATGCGTGGGCAAGAGAGGATGGTACAGATTCAATGAGAGACCCACTGTAAACCCACCAGAAGGAATCAAGCTTGAGTTTTAAGCTTCCAGGTGAAGTCTGTAGGACTCGGTGTTTCAGCTTTGCACATCTTAGCTGAAGTTTTGATCTCATAGCCAATGTGGATTCCTTGTGGCTGTTTTGGGACTTGTTTCAGAAGAAAAGCTCTTAAAGCTCAACCACTTCTCCCTACCTGGTCAATTCATTAGCTATTCCATGTACGTTGTGCTTATTCTGGTTCATGTTTGAGATGGGTGTTGTGTTTTTTAATACTGAGTTTTTTTGTCTTTCCTTTAAAAGAATAATATTCAACAAGTGTTCCAGAAACTCCATGCTTTGTTAAAAGAAGAATTTAGTAGTGAAGATCTCCAGATCATAGCTTGTCCTTCAATGGAACAGGTATATATTGAAGCTTGCTCTTTCATGTGACTGGCTTTTTTAAAGACTAATTTTTTCATTTTTAGTATTTTCAGTATTCAGAATCTTTATTTATTATCTTCCTTAATCCTGGGCTTTATCTGAACTCTAGGCTCTCAGCTAATAGGGGGTTTTGTTTGGTTTTTTTAATGATAATCCAATAGAGTTTTTAAACTAAGGTGATGATTGATGTTGCTGGGGATTGAGTTGTACAACATCATAAGAGAGTCTTTCCATTTCTGGGCATTGTCTTTTTGAAGAACTATCAAAGCTAATGAATATGCTTTAAAAAAGCCTGTGCGTGTGAAGGCATTCTTGCTTTTGACAAATAGAAAAAGCAGCAACTTTTACATTTAGGAAGCGTGAGAAAGAATTAAAAGGGTTCATTTGAAGTAAATGGCATTGGGAAAATGTGCAGATGTTTATGGAAATGTAACCCCACATGGTAAGGTCTTTGATCTCAGAGATGATTGACGTTAAGAATTCTCTGTATTAGGATGCTCTGACAGAAACCAAGTAGGCTTTTAAAAATCTTGCTTTGACTTTAGTGGTTCAGGGAATGTAGATAGAATTGTGATTATTCCAGGATGCCAGTATTTAAACAGATAATTTAGTTCATGGAATGGAGGACGTTGCTTGCAGTGAATGTGGCCACAGGGATGTGTGATAACTATCCTGGAGCATAGAGTGGGAGTGATGCACTGGAAGGAGGGGGAGTTATCCTAGAAGAGTTGACTTCCTCTAATTGTTTATCTGTTAATCCTTAGAATCACTTCTACAAACTGAAGTGTATGGGAAACCAGTAATCTGTGGGAAACAAGTATTGCGAAGGATTCTAAATGTATTTCAGATATCCAAGATGAACGTTAACGTTTTTTGCCAGTGCATGTGTTTTTTGGAATTCCTTGACAATGCATGAAGTCATCTTAGAAACTTTGACACAGTAGGTTGTGACTGCTGAAATGATTAGGCAGCATGGTCAACAGTTGCGTTTTAAAAAGCCTATGAGTAGACATTTGACGGGAAATGCTGGCCAGTTGTTTTGTAGCTGTCTTCTCCTGATTTGTCTAAGACTCTATGTGCTTCCTAGGAATCCTTTTTAAAGGTTAAAATACAAGACATCATTCTGAAACTTAGCTGCTCTGTCTAATGTAGGCTTTCCTTTTGTCTTTCAGGTGAATTTACTTTTATCGATGTCCAAGTAGCCCAACAGTGGGGCTGCTTAAAACAAGCTTCAGCTGAATGCCAGGCAGTGAAGGGAATGCAAAGACATTTACTTGAAGTGGACGAAGGATCCCACTGTGCAGGCCAGTCTGCATCAAAACTATCCAGGCTGCTTAACCCTGTTTTAGGAAAAAAAGAAAAAAACAGTTTTATTGATTTGTTAAAGATCTTCCTGTTCATTGGCTTGAGAAGTCGGGGGGAAGAAAACAAAACAAAAAACCTTTGTTGATCACTCTTATGGAACCTCAGTTACTGCCTTATCCAGATGTTTTCGAAGTTGAAATCCTGGGTGGTTTGTTTTATGTAAAAACTTTTCTTGCTTTCCTTTAATAAGCTGATGTATGCAGTGAAAAGCCGCACTTTCAAAGACACGCTGGAAATGAAGGGTAGGGAATCAAATGGGAACAGTAATAGGTATTTGCAAGGCTTGGAGATAAGCACGTTGGTATGACAATTTGACTTAAGCAAGCATGCTCTGTTTTTTCTTTAACTCTCCCGAAAATCCTGGTAATCCACCACATGCTTGAACGTAATTCAGAGATTCTTAGTTGGGAAAACTTTATTTCCCGCATGTGAAGCATTTCTTGAAACACTGGATATGCTGTTTTTCTTACACGGTTGTGATTGGGCGCTGTGAGGTCTGACCTGAAGTTTCATGCTTTAACCTTCTGCCATGTAAAGAATCTCAGATCCTGGGATTTGCGATGGAAAGCTGTGCAATATAATTTCTGTTGTTTCTGAGGGAACTGTGTGTTTTTCGATGCTTTACAGCAAAGCTTAGCATTGAGATTCTCAGGTAGTTAGTTTTAGGTTAGAGTTGGTTTTTGGCCTTACCCAAGATCAGATGGTGGTGTCGCATTGTTTAAAGTGGGAGCTGGGACTGGAACTTGTACAGCCTTTGTCCGCTGGAGTAAGTGCTAGTAAGGGGGTGAGGGTATGCCAGAAATTGAATGTGTAAGCCTGTCAAATCGGCATTGTAAACAGAGGATAAGTACTTGGTAACAATGCATGCTGTTCAGTATGCATTAATTGGTCATTATTTCAGAAAGCTGAATGGTAAATACTTGGCCATTAATGGAAGGAAACACTACAAGCAGCTTTAGGGTGTCTCAGTGTGTAAGTCTTTATTGTGCAGCACTGCAAAAGAATAATGTGGTGACTTACACGACAGATTTTTAACTTATTTATAAAACCTGTTCTGTAGTTTTAAATATGTAGAAATTTCCATGCACATCAGTGGTGTTTTGATTTAATAATTTTCATGTTATAAATCACATGGCTGGAGACGAAGATGGTAGAACTTAAAGCTACCAGGGGAAGTGTTGCAGCAGTGGTGCTGAGGTACATAAATGGTACTCGTAGGACCTTACGTGACTCCTTAAAAATTAACTAAAAGAACTAACAAGGAAGAAAACTTGTCCTTTCTTTTTACTTATGTAGAAATACAGGCTGTAAAATAATGTCCAGTGCATTGTAATATATGTATATTTGTTTTTTATAAACTTTTACAGAAGGACTGCATGGTCGCTGTACAGTTATGACTGACTTAATACAGACATTGTACAGAAAAGACGTGAAGGGTAAACCATTGCAGTAGTCACTCTTGTGCTTGGGATCTTTTTCTCTCTTAGAGTACCCAGACAGTTCTAGGACAGCTGGTTGAAAGATTAGAAGAGCAGTCGGTTTATACAGCCTGTTTGCTAAATGAACATTTGTTTAAACATGTACAGTTTCAGATATTTACGTTTACAAATAGTGTAAATACTTCCAAAAGATTAATTTAAGATGCTTTATATTATCTGACTAGAAACTCTCTGTTTTTAATTTTTTTAAATAAAAATGTTGCCTCCTATTTTCGTCCAAGAGTAAAGCTTTATTCTGTATCCCAAGGCTTATCTGTTAAGATAACTGTCATACAGAGACAATAAACATCCTGTAAGTACAGGCAGTGCATTGCTGAGAAATGTTCTTTTTTAGCAGTAAGAGAATTGACTTTATTTGGCACAGATGTATACCTGAGTGCTGAATGTACAGCTAATTGTTAAAGTAATGCCTTTTTATGGTTATAATAAAAGTAAATTTGTATTTTCTTTACTGACAAACGATCTTGTGTGACTAAGTGGTCTCTTTGCTTGCAATTTTGTTAGGGGAAGGAAACCACAACTGTAGTGCAAGAACATATTTTAACTAGTTGGCTTTTACTAAGAGAAAACTTGGGAGCTGGTGGCAGAAAGTGCAAGTATTGTATTTGATAGCTGTTCTTGTTGCCTGGTTACTCACAGTCTTACCTACCCATAGTTTCTTACTACCACTTACTGTTCTTCTGGCCTTGGGGTTGTAGAAACACATCATCCAGAGGCTTGTGGTTTGTCCTCTGTAACGTCAGCGTGGAGCTTCCCTTCACCCTCTGGCTTTGACAATGTCATTTGAATGAACTAACCTTAGGAAAAGTGCTCCTTTCTTGTGGAATTCAGCTTCTATCTGACTGGTATGGGGCAGCGATGTGTGACCATTGGTTCCTAGGTGCTTGGAGCCTCCCTAAAGAGGTCTGGCCCTTTGGATTACATCTCTCATTAAATGAAGTGAATACCAAAGCAGCTGCCCAGGTATTCACGCTTCGTTTTGTACAACAGTGGTACCCGCAGCATAGCTTAGGCTGTGCTGCCTGTTTTCCAAGAAAAAACAATAGTCCCTTCCTCCAACTGTACATGTTTAGTGTTGACAAAGTGATGTGGGTCGGAAAAAGGGAAAAAGTCTGTGCTCCTGAAACAACTCCTGTGGTGACTGCAGGTAGATCCAGCCCTGGGTCCGCAAACGCTGCTTTCTCCTACTCTCATGCATTTTTATCCTCATTGAGCCCTAAAACCAAACCAACACTGGAGCAAATCTGAGCTTTGATATAAAGACCTCTGAATAGAACAACAACAACGAAAAAAAAAGGCCATAAGAATCAGTTCGCCCCTTTCAGTGGTGGCCAACCATGCCACTAAGCCACGGAATTTACTATCTACCACCACCCGGAGCCCCAGGAGGCACCTCATCTTCCCTCTCTTGGATTGCCTGTGGTCCCTGTACCCAAGTTGCTGTTGGTCATCCCCTCTCCACCAGCCTGAGGGTCTCTGGCTGGGAGCCAAAGCAGGCTCGTCAGTCACGCTTGGTACAAGTTCCCAAAGGTTCAGTTCATCAGCTGTAGGAAGGAAGCCATCTCCTTGAAAGTACTGCACGTTCAGTCTATAACCCCACTGATCGTACTATGATCCATCAAGTGCTTTCAACCAAGATGACCTTGGTGTTACAAGGACTTAATGTACAGGAAAATAGGCATGTGAACTTGAAAAAAGGAGCTTTGTCTTCATCACAAAGTGACTGTTGTCACCTTGATGAAGGAAAAGTTGATCTGAAATGCTGATGTAACTGCTTGCTGCGAGTTAATGTCTTCATTTCAGTATTTCATGCAGATAGAAGATGATGAAACACAAGGAGTGATGTCACTGAGAGAGGGGTTGCCAAAAGTATTGCAACACTGTTATTTTGGACAGCAGGCTCCTGAGATGAATCTTTTTAGGTTGAAGGAAGAGCTCCTCTTCGCTTTCTGGCCACTGAAGTAGGTGACTCGTCTCGGGGTCTTTCAACTGCAAAGAGAGCCCATGGGAAGTGAAGAGCGTTAATGCTGAACCCCCTGAAGGGACGCTGAGTGGGAGAGCATCCCTTGTTAACCCAACCTTTCACGCTTACCCATGGAGTGTCCTCAGGGTGCCCTTTCCCTCCATGCCCGTGGAGCACACTAATCCTAGGGCTCCCCTTTGGGGTGGATCCTCTTCCAGCACATGTACAAGGGGACTGAGGAGCTAAACCCACGGCTCTAGCCTCCTTTGGTGGGAGTGGGCTGCCCAGTAGTGGAGCAAGGAAGATGACTTCCTTACCTAACATAGCAATGGGTCCTGAGAAGAAGTCTGAATTTGGGGGATGGAAAAGGAGGTGTCAGTGCTTTACAGTTCTGCATACTGACCCGGGGTTGTTGCCACCTTTTTGCATAGCTACCCCAGATACCTATTTCCATTAGCAATACATCTGTGGCCGTGTATAGATTATTGCTATGAGGGCTGTCAACATTGGGTTTGTGACTGCAGCGGGGAAGACAACTGGAATCCTTCACCCTGAGGCCACAGCCCCCAACCAAGCATGAGCTCCTGGCAACGTGTGACCTGTGTTTCAGAGCTGACCGGTTGTGTTTGCATCCAGTGAAGGACAGGGATGGAGCAGGCTGGGACAGTTGCACTGGCACTGAGCACGGCTGAGTCCCGGTCAGAACAGCGTTTCCAACTCCGGGGAAGGGTTGGAGGTGGGAAACCCGAGTGACAACAAATACCAAAGGATTTTGGTGTTCCTCTCCCCCAGATAGTTGTTTCACGTTAAGTGAAATGCTGTTTAGATAAAATCAGGAGCTTTGTGTTGGTATTGACTTTTAATATAAATGTTTTGAGAAGAAAGTGTTTCAAAATGAATTTGTGAGACTTGCTGTTCTTACCCTTCAGCGACAGCATTTCAATCTTATCTAAATGCTTTCCTGAAAGGGAATTTCATTAAGATTCACACAGGCAGGAAATTTGCTTTTGAATGAAACGATGATTTTTCCACCCGAAAATTTGTGACCAGTCCCATGCAGCAGCCCCAAACTTATCTCTGCTGGATGGTTTCCCTGCTGCTGCTGCTCTCCAAGGAGCTGGTGGGCAGGATCCATCCGGGCAGGGCTTCCTCAGCAAGTGCTCACCTTGAGCTGGAACCCCACATTGAAATGGATACCATCGCTGCAGCTGGTGAACAGTAAGTCAATTTGATTCTGAGCCAGGATTTTAATGGTGAGGTAGTGTCACTGTTTAAGGCTGGACCGGCACTT